ACATCGAAACGAACGACTCGACCCACTGATCTCTCTCAGGTAACGTAACGTTAACTTACTTACAGCACAGTTATAGCGAATAGCGAAAGTCCGGTTTAAGAGCGTTATACAATTATATCTAGATAAAACAAATCAATTGTAAAATAATATTTACTTACGACAAGAACGAGCGCCTAGGTGAGGAAGTATATCAACCTCAGCCTGTGAAAACGGTCCTGTTTCACTTCCGTGATAATGAAAACAAGTTTAAATACGGCGCGTGCTGCGTCATATCCGCCGGAACATGAGATTCTGCACGCGCTGAGATTCTGTAACTTATGTGAAATATCTCGCATTTCTGAATATGCACAAACACTTCGACAGGCAGGCTGCCGATGCCGTTGAATATTTACAAAAAAAATAAGTATTACTATACAAAAAGCTGTAATTCGTAGTGCATACAAACATTTAAACGCAACTAGGCTAATAAGGAAGTATGTTGCTTGGCCTAATTCATTAACTGAATATAACATTTATTTTAATACAAAAATGTAGGGTCTGTTTAGTGTCTTACCTAGGCTGCGTTTATTTGGTTAAAAATACAGTAATAACATTTAGTAAGTTATTATCATAAAATTGTAATATAGCCTAGTTTAATATGCTGATTTCCTGCTCAAAAATCTTATAAATCGTAGTTTTTTTAAAAAAACAGATGTGCTAAATTAATAATTTTGTGGAAACGGTGATCATTTTTTTTCAGGATTCTTTGATGAATAGACAGTTCAAAACAACAGCTTTTAGGCCTATTTAAAATAGAAATAATTTGCAATAATATAAATGTCTTTAGTATCATTTTTGATGATTTTAATGCGTCCTTGCTGAATGAAAGTATTAATTCATTTACTTTTTTTTTTAAATCTCACTAACCCTAAACGTTTGAAAGGGAGTATTCCTTGCATTTTGAAATAGTCAACCCTAATAATAACTATTACATATTGTCGCTAATTGAAAAAAAAAAACCTGTGATCTTAATATTTGACAATGTGACATTCTGAAAATAAAATAAGTAAATAATTTTAATATGCTGATTTCCTGCTCAAAAATCTTATAAATCGTAGTTTTTTTAAAAAACCAGATGTGCTAAATTAATAATTTTGTGGAAACGGTGATCATTTTTTTCAGGATTCTTTGATGAATAGACAGTTCAAAACAACAGCTTTTAGGCCTATTTAAAATAGAAATAATTAGCAATAATATAAATGTCTTTAGTATCATTTTTGATGATTTTAATGCGTCCTTGCTGAATGAAAGTATTAATTCATTTTTTTTTTAAACGTTTGAAAGGGAGTATTCCTTGCATTTTGAAATAGTCAACCCTAATAATAACTATTACATATTGTCGCTAATTGAAAAAAAAAAACCTGTGATCTTAATATTTGACAATGTGACATTCTGAAAATAAAATAAATAAATAATAAAAAAAAAACATTTAGACCTTTTTTTATTATTATTTTAGAATGCATTTTTTAAACATCATAAAATTAGTTGCAAAATTCATGCATTTGATGACTCAATTTAGTCAATTTGAGGGCATTGGCAGCTTTCTACCGTGTTGAAATGGCCTAATGTCAGTCAGTCAGTGTCACGCTGGCTAATGAGAAGACTGAAAGTTTGTTTCTCTAGTGTTGGTTCTGGCAAGGTCAGTGGTGCTGCTGTGCGGGGGATGATGTTTGGGTTTTAGTGCTGCATCTGCACTCAACTGCAATAATCTGCACTAATGACACTGCAGGCTGATGCAGCTGTTTATCACTCACACACACACACACACACACACACAACTCGCCCTACAGATGTAGGGCATGGGCCTCATATTGCTCTGGGTGTACTGTAGAGGGTTTGTTTGAGATCTGGGTGTCATACAGTTTGGCTCAGGAATCCTCCACACTTTTGCAGCAGTATTCATTTGTGCTTAGTAATGCAACATCCATCTTAGAAATCCAGCTAATCCAGGATTCTGGAAGAGAAGAGGGAAAGAGCTTGAGAAAAGCTTTTCTTTGCCCCCATGAGTCTGTCAGGATTTCCAGTTGAATAAATACTGAATGATGGGAGTTGTGTTTAGCACAAACGCAGCTGTGATCTCTGCAGTTCACACACTGATCTCATTCATCATCCAGTTCGGTGTGCAGATCATTCCGGCAGCGTTAGATATTTGTCATTGTTGCATGCAGTAGATTTAGAGGGTAGAATGCGGTTCCTCATGAAATATCTATCCCCTCTGGCTGCCTACTACTCCTCTTCCCTTGAGACTTTCTCATTCCACCCCTTCACTGTTTGCTTCACTGCATAATGGTGGCCATTTTTGATTTCTTTCACTCGCTCTCACATTCTGACCTTCTGTTTGTTCTTTCATAAAACATAAATATAAAACATCTATCTATCAGTGTTGGGTCGAAGTCCACCTTGTTATCTATCTAAATGGAAAGGAAAGGACGTGAAGTGAGGTCAAGTATGGTGTCCCATATGCTGGATTTGTGCTCTGTACAACGTTTTGTTTTCATGTTTTATGGGTGGTTTTTATACTGTACAAACTGTATCCTTATGTCTCTATGTCTGTCAGTCTATCTATCATCCTTATGTCTCTTGTCAGTCTATCTATCTATCTATCTTTATGTCTGTATGTCTCTTGTCTATCTATATATCTATCCGTATGTCAGTCTATCTATCTTTATGTCTGTATGTCTCTGTCAGTTAGTTAGTCTATCTATTTATCCTTATGTCTGTCAGTTAGTCTGTCTATCTATCTATCTATCCTGTTCACACACTGATCTCATTCATCATCCAGTTCGGTGTGCAGATCATTCCGGCAGCGTTAGATATTTGTCATTGTTGCATGCAGTAGATTTAGAGGGTAGAATGCGGTTCCTCATGAAATATCTATCCCCTCTGGCTGCCTACTACTCCTCTTCCCTTGAGACTTTCTCATTCCACCCCTTCACTGTTTGCTTCACTGCATAATGGTGGCCATTTTTGATTTCTTTCACTCGCTCTCACATTCTGACCTTCTGTTTGTTCTTTCATAAAACATAAATATAAAACATCTATCTATCAGTGTTGGGTCGAAGTCCACCTTGTTATCTATCTAAATGGAAAGGACGTGAAGTGAGGTCAAGTATGGTGTCCCATACGCTGGATTTGTGCTCTGTACAACGTTTTGTTTTCATGTTTTATGGGTGGTTTTTATACTGTACAAACTGTATCCTTATGTCTCTATGTCTGTCAGTCTATCTATCATCCTTATGTCTCTTGTCAGTCTATCTATCTTTATGTCTGTATGTCTCTTGTCTATCTATATATCTATCCGTATGTCAGTCTATCTATCTTTATGTCTGTATGTCTCTGTCAGTTAGTTAGTCTATCTATTTATCCTTATGTCTGTCAGTTAGTCTGTCTATCTATCTATCTATCCTTATGTCTCTGTCAGTTAGTCTATCTATATATCTGTCTGTCTATCTATCCTTATGTCTGTGAGTTAGTCGATCTATCCTTATGTCTGTCAGTTAGTCTATCTATCCATCCATCATCTCTATCTATCTGTCTGTCTGTCCTTATGTCTGTAAGTTAGTCTGTCTATCTATCTATCCTTATGTCTGTATGTCTCTGTCAGTTAGTCTATCTATCTATCTGATGTTTGTTCCTTGTGGATTTCAAATGCAGCAATTCTAAGCAAGGATTTGAATCATTAGTAAATAAAAGTGACCTTTAAAAGTCAAAGTTTCTGTGCTCTTCTTCTCCTGTATCTTTCCACTGTGACCAAGAACATGAATAAATTGACAGCCCTATATATAACTCAGTTTTTACACAGTTTTCTCCATGCTGTCTTCAGTATGTCCAGTCTAATTCTCACGTCTCACACACCTGAAGAGAGGCAGATGGTATCCCTGGCAACAGAAGCTTCAAACTTAGTCCCACTAATAACTGAGGACAAAGAACAATCCAGCAGTCAGACAACAGAGAGAATTCACAGCTGTTTCACATCCTTTATTCGGTTTCCCTGCGGAGGATACATAGAGGGAAAGAGTGCTTCTTACAAGCCCATCAAAATATTTGAGAAAGAAGGGTGCATGCAGAAATAAGTACACAATGTTTGTAATAGCTAAATATTTCATACGTTCCAGCTCTTTATCATTCTATCAGGGTGGATTGAAACAAGAATGTTTATGTATTCTCGTGTGCCAAAAGGGTATTAGGAAAAATAAAGGGATGTATTATAAACCGTTTTTAAAAAAAGATATAAAGAAATGCATGGATTTAACCAACTGGACCTACCATAAATATAATCATGTATCACAAGTTTTCTAATATAGCATACGCAGTACCATTTGAATCTAAACAGAAGTGAAATGCACAAAAGCTACATCCCTTCACAACCAGAGAATGATGACATCACTGCGCCTCGTTACAAGCCCATTGTCCCACAAGTCAAAATCTTACATTCCTCTTTATATACAATTCAAAACCTACAGGAGTAAAATCCCCATGAGCTCGACAGTATTACCAGCCAAATGTCCCATTTGGATCTACAGGACGGGTTCATTAACACAACGTCTAATTAATACAATATTGCAATATTCGGTTGTGATTCGTCTACATTTAGCTACAGATATTTCAAATTACACAGTGTATATAAATAACCCAACAACACAGATCAATACAAAGGTTTGCAGCAGACACAGTGTGTTTTTATAAAGATTATAATTTCCAGAAACACTTTTACGATGTGATGAAAATCCATTTTGCCGGTGAGTGCTTGCATATTGCTTCATCAAAATATGGTTGTCCAAAACACAGTTTTAGGGTTGTTAGCTACATTTTGTGCAAGCACGACTACACATGCGTCACGTTCAAGAACAGTCACATTTTCTGGAGAAAAAGACCAATGAAATGAAAGAAGAAAAAAAAAAGAAAGATTTGATTGTCATTTGAAAAAGTTAAATGAAAAATAAAGAATAATTACAAACAGTATCATGATATAAAATTCCAAATGTCTGATGGCAGAAAATAAATATATTTTCCCCCCGTTTTTTAAAATGTAGAGTATACAAGGACATGAAATAAAAAAAGATAACTCTTGTTACTAAGATACAGCATCTCTGCTCTTTACTCACAGCTGATCTTCTCATAAATGGTTCTCTGAAGTTTTAAAACTAACCTGACTGAGGAGATCCACTTCATCTCATGTGAGCCACTTGACAATCTTCAGAGCAACTGATGTCTGATCCTCATCGGTAGGAATAATCTGACAAACCCATGTCTGTATATTGGTTTGACTTGTTTTCTGCTTCTGGAGAAGGAAAAATACTTCAAATCCTCAATGAGTGCGTATGATCGCAGCCAGTCTTTACAGAGCGTGAGCTAGAGTTTAGGTGTGAGAGACTCCACAACAGCCTCGGAGTAAGTGCCAAGGAAACAAACGCAAGAGTAAAACTCTTTTACTCTTTACTCATTGATGTGAGAGACTTCATCTGTTTGAAGGATGACATGTTGGTGGCGTAAATTCCCAAGGGTTCTCTCAGAGAGCAATGTCATCCGATTATCGATTGCTGTCTACGTTGAGATTTCCGTCACCGCAGCAGTGGGGCAAAACAAATGGGCCGTGGTGTTCGGGTCAGTGGTCTGATGTGAAGCTGGGTTTTGTGGCACGCTCAACCCTTTCAGGATTTCACATTAACTGCAAGTCACAGATAAATCATGTTTATATATATATATATACACACACACATCAGAAAGTAATAAATTACTCTGAGCTTTTTTTCCATTGCTTTTCATTGACGTCACTTTTCATAATCCAATCAATTCCCAATGGATTAAATCCAGTCCTGTCCTTTTTTCTTACTAAATGTGCTATTCACTTTGAAATATGTCACATAATGGAAGTAAATGGGTTGCGAGATCATTGATGTTAAATCAGGGGAGAGATTAGATTGGATTCTGTTAGTTACCATCGATGTTTGTGTTCCACTAATGTTTCATACAATAGTGTAAAACATTGGTCTGACACTAGATCAATCTGTTGTGTCATTTGTAATGCATTCATAATTTACTATTCAAGTAATTAAATGCAATCCGTGTAAATGTCTTCTAATCGCCCACAGCTTTGTAGAACATTTTTCCCAACCGTAGAAGAAAAGGCTGAATGTCCACTGGGAAAAAGTAGCAGCATTTAAACACTTCAAAAGAACAGCAAAAGAAAGTAAATCTCCAGCCACAAAGGATTCTCTGCTTCCTGACCTACTTAGATGTCCTATGTATAGAGTTATGATTCAGATAATCCGTTCTGCATAAATATCCAGTATTGAAAAGCATATTTCGTGTGTGACTACGAAGAGGAGAAAGTCCCATGAGGCTCGGGTGAAGAGGTTAGAGACGGCTTACTTGACAGATTCACGGCGCATGCTACGATGATGATGGCTCCTCCCACCAGAGAGACCACAGAGAGCAGCTTGGCCACACGACCCAGTCGTCTCGCTCCGTCTATGTTCCCCTGCTCTAGACTGTTCCGCGACTAACAGAACATGACAGTGAGATCGGAGCTTCCATTAAAGTCAGAAGCATTTTACATATTCAACACTGTAACACACAATGAAAAATTCAGTCTGTTATGCTGAGGGAAAAAAAGATTTTGCATATCCATTTGATATTTCGAATTTTTGAATCACGCAGGTACTGGGCTACTCCGCAGCGGTTCCTACAAGAATCAGTCTGAATATACTGTAAAAACGTATTATAGGCATACCGTAGTGATTCAGGAGAAGCCAAAAACACGGTTTGGAAAGTGGATTCATGATGTACTCGCTCATTTTATAAATTTTGAACACGTTTGAAAGTTATGGACTGCAGCTTTAACTAAAATGAAAACATTTTCATTGATTTATCTAAAAAACATAATTTAAATAAAATGTAGAAACATTTCATTGGGTTTATCTTGCTGTACTTAAATAACTAAAACAAAAAAGAAATAAAACAAAAATGACTAAAACTTTACCTAAAATTAAAATGAAATGTATATATCATTCATAATAACTCAAAAAATGAATAATACTAAAGTTTGATAAAAGGCAAGCTCTTATGACCATATTTTCTATCCGTATGATTTATCATCATTAAAATGTGTATATTTGCTAACTGGCTGGGAACAGACCAAAAATAAAAATAAATAAATAAAAGAAATTATTTTAAAATGATACAAAATCTATATTTTATTATATCATTATTATATCAAAGATATATTATCAGTATATATTATTATATTTTTTATAAATATTTACAAAATGTACATTAACACCGTGTTTGCTAGTCATTGTTAAAATGATATACAGTATATGAAAAGTATATTAGGGACACAAATTACATCCTGCACCCTCAGAAAAAAAGGTACAAAAGCTGTCACTAGGGTGGTACCTTTTCAAAAGACACACATTTGTACCTAACGAGTTCATATTGGTACCTTAAAGGTACATCTAAAGTAGTCTGTGTGTCTTTTCTGTGTGTATATAGAATAACTCAAAGGGACCAAGCTCTACATACCATGACCGAGTAAACAAATCCCACAATGTTGACTGGCCAGACAGGGCAGAAGCAGGCGATGATGGCGAGGATGAGGTAGTCTTTGGGTTTGGAGCGGTCCATCGGGGGGTTGGTGGCGATGCTGGAGTGGCGTGAAATCGAGGGCCGCGGGGAGAACGCTGTGTAGGCGATGGAGTTGGAGCGGCTGCCCATCCGGGTGCGGCCCACATGCGGATGGTGCGAATGAGGGAGAGAATGATGCCGGCGAGGAGGAGACGAGAGAATGGGTTTGGAGGCAGCAGCATCATTCAGGGATGAACAAATCCTATCGGCTGCCAAAAGAAAGAGAGGATGTGAGCAGACAAAAATACTAATTTAATTAGTCACTTGGCACTTACAGAATTCACACAGTACTAGTCAAACGTTTGGAAAAATACAGATTTTTAATGCTTTTGAAAGACTTATGCTCTTATGGTTAACAAGGCAGTATTTATTTAATCAAAAAATATAGTAATGTGTGAAATATCTTGACTATTTAAAACAACTGCTTTCTATTTGAATATACATTTTATAACGTAATTTCTTCCAGTGCTGCAAAGCTGAATTTTCAGCATCATCGCTCCAGTCTTCAGTGGCACACGATCCTTCAGAAATCATTATCATATGCTGATTTGCTGCTGATTATTATCAATGTTAAAAAAAGAAATACTTTTATTTAGCAAGGATGCATTAAATTGATCAAACGTGAAAGTAAAGACATTTATAATGTTACAAAAGATTTATATTTTAAATAAATGCTGTTCTTTTGAACTTTCCATTCATAACAGAATACTGAAAAAAAGGTCAAACAAATAAATGTTTAAAAATGATCAAGCATTACTTATAAGAACAATTATTAATAATTAAACATCCATAATCATTTAGCATCAGTACATTATGAATGATTTCTGAAGGATCATGTGACACTGAAAACTGGAGCAAAGATGCTGAAATGTTCGGATCACAGGAATTCATTCGATTTTAAGAATTCAATGAATGCACTTTTGGTGAGCAAAGAGTCTTTTCCACAAAAATATTAAGCAATATTACTAAAAAAGAATAATGTTTCCAAACATTTGACCAGCAGTATATAATAAAACATTTATTTTATATAATGTGCACATTTATTCAAATAATTTTCTCTTTTTCCTAGCTGTCTGTTATCATTATTGTTTGTCTCTCCATGTTTTCCTCCAAATGTGATGCTGATAGAAACGCCGGATGGCGTGCTCTTGAAACCTACTTTAATTAAACAGCCACCAATGCAATTAGTTCACTAATCTCTGTCATGCCTTTCAGCCCCTCCTGCCAGGAAGCCCCTTTGGCAATTTTAATTAGGATGCACAACTTTAATTTAATTAAGAGTATTTACGACACACTCAGCGACTGTAAAATAAAGGAAATAAAATATCTCCCTCTTAACCTCGAACGAACTGATTAGAGCATCATCGAGCCACAATAAACAACAAAGCGGTCATGGGTTGTTGAGCTCGTCCGCTGCCAGCTCTCAATCATTCAGTGGTTAGTAACAAAGTAATGCCCCTCAGAAGAGCCTGTGCATTATTTACAATGATCGGATTTGCTCTGCGGCAAACAGTGCTGCTAGGAAGTGCTTTCTGAATTAATCATTTTCACTTTTAAAGCCATTTGCTTATAAAATCCTGAAAGAACGCATCATATAATTATATATACATACACAAACACACATATATACATATATAGACACATACACACAAATATACATACACAAACACACACACATATATATACTGTATATACACACACAAATATGTGTGTGTGTGCATATATATATATATATATGCCCCAGATATTTAAAATGTGGGGAAAGAATGTCCCTCTGTACTGAATTGCTCTTTTTTATTTTTTTACCTAGCGTTTGATATATTTAATGATGTTCTATTCTAGGACTGTCTATTTCTGGTTTTAGTGGCTCTACAGTGACTGTAGTGACCTGTAACTGTCAGATTCCTGTATCTATTTTTGAATATGTGGCTAATAAAGCGGTTTTCGGTAAAAAAAAAAAAAGAACTATACTCTTAAAAATAAAGGTGCTTCACGATGCCATAGAAGAACCTTTTTGTCTAAATGGTTCCATAAAGAACCTTCAACATCTGAAGAACCTTTCTGTTTCACAAAAGCTTCTTTGTGGCGAAAGAAGGTTCTTCAGATTACAAAAAGGTAAGAAAGAGATGGTTCTTTAAAGAACCTTGGACTGAATGGTTCTTTGTGGAACCAAAAATGGTTCTTCTATGGCATCGCTTGAAGAACCTTTTGAAGCACCTTTATTTTTAAGAGTGTAGTAAGCTCTAAAAACACTGAACGTGAAGAAAGCTCACCATAACAACTTCTAGACCTGAAAAGGGGATGGTATATCTTGAATTTTCAGCTGCTACAATTTGGTTCAGTGTTGATATGGTTAATTAAGACTATTAAAAATAATTTTAATAAATAATAAAATACAAAAGTAAAAAGAAAACTATAGATGAAAAATGTAAACTTAAAAAACTTTAGTATTAAAATTAATATCTGATACTTATTTGGTTCAGTGTTATTGTTAAACTTAAGCTAAAATAAAATAAAAATAGATACAATTGATCAAAGTAAACTTAAAACTGAAGTGAAAAAAATACTGTATATACATGTGTGTGTGTGTGTGTGTGTATAACAAAATTTACATTTTGTAATGTAATTACAATTAACAATTAAATTAATAAAATTTCACCAAGGGGATAAATAAAGTTACTAACTAATATATATATATATATATATATATATATAATGTGCTTTTAGGCTTTTTAATATATATATAAAAAGCTTAAAAGCACATAATAGATTTATTAAAACAAACTAAAATTAACATAATACATTTTTAAAAAAAAAAGCTCATTCAAATTATACAAATAATACTAAACACCAATTTGGTTTTATATACTTGGTTTTACAGTCATTTAAGTCTTTGTATTTTTGTAGCTGTAGATTTTGAGCTCTGAAAACACTCACTTCATCTCCATTGCTTGCCTGTTTAATTACATGCTACTTTTATAGTCATTATCCTGATTGCTGTATGCAAACGACTGTAGTGTGATTGGCATAGCAGCACCTGAAAGTCCCCAACATTTTCTTCCTGGAGACGAAGCAGATGCTTTCATATCAATTATTCTTATCCCTCCTCCCTCATAAACCCCTCCCAGAATGACATATTATTGACGAATTGATGAACTACCACTCTCGGCTTTCTCCTTGACCATAACGGTGACCTCTCCTGAGCGCCGCGCCTCCTCATTCGACTGCTGGGGGAAAGCAAGGGGGCGCAGACATGGGAAAGAGTCCGATTCGACCCCGGTGGTCCCCGGCTGGAATGTCACAGGGCCCGGGGTCTGGCAGCTCATCGGCTCTCTGTCTTGGGTACAAACTGGAGAGCCCAAGGATGCCTGATGGTACTCGGTTTCCATAGAGACGGCGGAGGGTGCGAATGTCGCCAGCGCTGCGTTGATGTTCAGACGGCGTCCCGTGTGGCTAAAAACAGGAGAAAAATAGTGAGATTTATGTGCACAGGGGATGCATCTCATTACTATCTGCAGTGAGCGCACATAAATGCATGATGAGACACAAACTCACACTCCAGCACATGGTGTCATCAACACACACATCACATCCCTCACAATTCAGCATCCCAGAGCTATCCCCCCCCCCACAAACACAACTCATCTGCTTTGTTAGAAGATCATTTTATCAGAGCAATGGTTTGTTCATTAACAGGCATGCTTGTTTATCTCATTTTAACCTCTTAACCTAGATATGTAGGTCATGAAACTGACCTGGATTACAGACAGAGATGTTATAACATTCATTTTTCCAGCAGAATTAATAAAGATTCTATTAATCGATTGTAATATACTAACAATGCACAGCGTAAAGCTGTTCTTTGTCCTCATGCATCCAATAGCACAGGTGCAATTCACCTATCCAGGTCAGGACGCCCTTTGTTTCCTCATTAAACAAAGGACCGTCTCCCATAGACATTAAAAATCATGCAGACGTTTATTAGTACACGTATCATACATATACATAAATAAACAGCTAACTTACACCTCGCGATTCCAGCCAGTGTGCGCTTGTCTTCGCACGTGCGCTGTTAGTCCATTTGCAAAAACAGTATCTCTAATGAAGATTCGATATTCCGGCGTGTGGCATTAAAACGTGCATTAAAAAGAAAGCTAACGCGGTTGTGTGTTCGCGGATGCTGGGATCAGCACTGGCTGCAGGCTCACACTCACTGGAGGACAGGAGGAGGACGCGCGAGGAGATGAGTAAACTACATCAACTGCGCGCGCTGGAAAACCTGTGATGAGAGAAACAAACACACACGAGCGCCAGCCTCATTATGAAGACTGATTATAGGCTATAATCCACAATCATAGGTTATATTAGCGTGCCCGTGATAATAGCTACACGATACAATTGACAAGCATTTCCACAAAATAAGTAAGCTACGCATTATTACTCAGATACACTGAAAAATAAAGAAGTAATTTTGTAAGGGAAAATTATTAATTACATTTTTGCTATTGTATAGAATAAATTATAAGCAAATGTCAGTTTGTGTGTGTGTGTGTGCAGGGGCGTACATTTCGTCTTACAGTTGGGGGGACAATAAACATAACATTTCTCAAGAGCGATTTTTGAAGGGGACACAAATAATACAGCTAAAATTGTATTTGTAAGGATATGTATACACAGAGGAAAGTTACTGCTATTAGTGCAGCAGGGAGACTGTGCAAAACTAGACAACTTCAGCGTTGAGACAGCGCTCGGGTGCTTTGTGTTCGCCTCAGTGTGGCCAAGTCCGCGGTTTTCCTGCGGTATTGGGCTACTTTATCACTGTTGCGGCGGGTTGAAGCGACCCCAATAACGTGTATTTTAGCCCCCGGAATGCGATTTTTACCAGGGGACCCCTCGACGCGGTTAGTTTAGGTAGAAATTGGGAGGGTTTTGTTGTAAAAAACAACAACCTGGCAACCGTCAAGCAGGTAACGTTATTATTGCTAACATAGCGACTCATCAAAAAATACATCGGCATCATCTGTATTAAAGAGAAAACAATCACTTCATCCGATGTTTAAGTGAATAAAATCGCCTTGACAGCATTACTTACTGGAGTTCCACAATGACTTTGTTCTCTCTGACTGGACTCGTGTGTGTGTGTGTTTGTGTGTGTGTAGGTGATGTAAAAGAGGAAAGCAGGCGTTTGGACCAAAGCACTGTGAGGCAAGGGAGGGGAGACTCAAAATGTTTCTAAGCGGGTTGAAGCGACCCCAATAACGTGTATTTTAGCCCCCGGAATACGATTTTTACCAGGGGACCCCTCGACGCGGTTAGTTTAGGTAGAAATTGGGAGGGTTTTGTTGTAAAAAACAACAACCTGGCAACCGTCAAGCAGGTAACGTTATTATTGCTAACATAGCGACTCATCAAAAAATACATCGGCATCATCTGTATTAAAGAGAAAACAATCACTTCATCCGATGTTTAAGTGAATAAAATCGCCTTGACAGCATTACTTACTGGAGTTCCACAATGACTTTGTTCTCTCTGACTGGACTCGTGTGTGTGTGTGTTTGTGTGTGTGTAGGTGATGTAAAAGAGGAAAGCAGGCGTTTGGACCAAAGCACTGTGAGGCAAGGGAGGGGAGACTCAAAATGTTTCTAAACTTAAAACGCATTTTTACCCCGTTTATGTTGTTTTACTACTTACACAATTATGTAAAGTATAAAACATTGTTATTTACAATACACAAACTGGTTTTTAATAATATGTTTTAATATAACTCCCCCCCCCCCATCCCATGTGTGTGTGACCTTGGATCACAAAACCAATCACAAGTAGCACAGGTATATTCTAATAGCCAAAAATACATTGCATAGGTCAAAATGATCAATTTATCTTTTATGCCCAAAATCATTAGGATATCAAGTCAAGATTATGTTCCATGAAGATATTTTGTAGATTTCCTACCATAAATGTATCTAAACTTAATTTTTGATTAGTAATATGTTGCTAAGAACTTCATTTGATCAACTTTAAAGATGATTTTCTCAATATTTAGATTTTTTTGCACCCTGATTCCAGATTTTCAAATAGTTGTATCTCGGCCAAATATTGTCCTATCCTAACAAACCATACATCCATGGAAAGCTTATTTATTCAGATGATGTATAAATCTCAATTTCAAAAAATTGACCCTTATGACTGGTTTTGTGGTCCAGGGTCACACACACACACACACACACAGAAGTCGTCAATATTTGAAGTGGATCAAAACCTTTCTTCAAAGTTGTCCTAAAACCAAAATGCGTTCTTGTCATAAGACAACTTTGATGAACTTTTTGATCCACTTCAAATGTTGACTACTGTGTGTGTGTGTGTGTGTGTGTATATATATAGCCCTCAACTTTGATGAACTTTTTGATCCACTTCAAATGTTGACTACTGTGTGTGTGTGTGTATATATATATAGCCCTAAAAAAAAAAAGTGTAACCCTATACTGTAAAAAATAAATCCATTTTAATAACCATCTGTACTGCTAAAAAAATGGCACCTTTGGAACTAAAAAAAGCAAACAACTAAAGTTTTTTTTTTCTTTAAATGGCATATACTTTTACTAATTTGCGGTAAAAACCTCTCAAATGTCACGGTTTTCTTTTTTACTGTACATTTAATTTTATTTCAGTTTACAGTGATCAACATAAAGGGGGAAAAAAATCAATTCTTTCCATTAATTATTAAAGCAGTCATTATCTCCGAGAGTCAAATTTCTTTTCTGCCTACTGAAAATGGTTCCAAACACTATAATGAACAACAATGAAAACGTGCATGTGAATGTAGCTCTGGTCTAATTTATGTCCTGCAGTTCAGTGATTGGCTGCTCTGGTCTGCTGCAAGGATGTCAGACTGCTTGAAGGACTGCGTGAGAGTAATGAAGTGCTGCTGACTCATCCACTCACCAACGACACATTTACATTCTCGATCAGCTCAAAAGGCAAATACCGAATGACAAATCAAGGATATACAGAATCCTCAAAGAACATGGACATTTAAGCCTTAGCTAAAATGCTTTACTGCAGTGGATTAAACACCAAACCAAGGGGATTCATTTGACAGCCACTTTTTGCAGAAATGTTTTAAGTTTTAAAACAATATAGTAGTAGATGAGATTGAGAATTATTTTTCACTGGAGAAACCAATAATATAGATAGAGGACTTGCAGTTCAGGCAAAACAATGGTTTGAAGTTAAAAACATCTTAATGGATTTGTTTCTTATAAATATGCAGGGTTTTGCTTCACAAGACATTAATTGATCGACTGGTGTGGTGTGGATTATGATGTTTTTATCAGCTGTTTGGAATCTCATTCTGACGGCACCCATTCAACAATCTGGGAAGAAAAAAAAACCCTCAGAGAGCTTCTTTATGTGATGGTGGCATTTATTTGGTGCCACGAACACATTTTTTGCAATGATCTCTCAAATGTGGTGATCAAACACTTATAATGGTGACAGAGGTATGTAAGGGCATTTAACAATAAACTTTACTATCCAAAATGAGTGACATCAGTGCACTGAACAGTAAAGTTGAAGTTTATTCAACTCAATTCAACTTTATTCCGTTGAAGTTGATTTCACTGATTTGCACTACTGTCTTCACACACAGACGAAACTTACTAGAGAAGTGTGAAGTGTGACATAATATAGGGGAGTGTGATGCACAAAGTAACGAGGGTTTAGTTGTAATACATGTGGTTTGAATATTTATTTTACCATAGTAAAATGTAAATTCTGTCTTAAGTAAATTTATCTCAGTTTTTATTCTTCATTTAAAATTAGACAAATCTGCTATTATTTTAATCTCCAATCTGAATTAAATTAAACTGAAAACCTTTCATTTTCCACATTTACGTGATTTCCTGCTCAAGCCATTTAATCATTCGCATTTTGAAATATCGGTTTTGTTCAAATTACTTTTGTATAAGAAATTAGTTTACATTGGCAAAAGTTAATTACACGCTTTTATAAAAAAAAAAAAAATAATATATATATATATATATATATATTATCAAAATATTTTAGTTTGTCTTTTATATTTTTTTCATTCGATCAGATAAGATTTTAAGCTGTCATATGGTCAAGTTACAACGTGCCCCTCAGATGTTACAATGTGTTCCACCTACAGGGCATGTTGTCACATTTCTTGAGGGTAAATAAAAGAAAAACTTATACACTGCAATTATGAAACAAAGCGACATTTGTACTAGACAAGTGTAAAATTACTGTGGG